GTCTTGGATGGTCGCTGCTGCCTCTCACTACTGGACCACTATGACATGGTCTTGGATGGTCGCTGCTGCCTCTCACTACTGGACCACTATGACATGGTCTTGGATGGTCGCTGCTGCCTCTCACTACTGGACCACTATGACATGGTCTTGGATGGTCGCTGCTGCCTCTCACTACTGGACCACTATGACATGGTCTTGGATGGTCGCTGCTGCCTCTCACTACTGGACCACTATGACATGGTCTTGGATGGTCGCTGCTGCCTCTCACTACTGGACCACTATGACATGGTCTTGGATGGTCGCTGCTGCCTCTCACTACTGTACCACTATGACATGGTCTTGGATGGTCGCTGCTGCCTCTCACTACTGTACCACTATGACATGGTCTTGGATGGTCGCTGCTGCCTCTCACTACTGGACCACTATGACATGGTCTTGAATAGTCGCTGCTGCCTCTCACTACTGGACCACTATGACATGGTCTTGGATAGTCGCTGCTGCCTCTCACTACTGGACCACTATGACATGGTCTTGGATGGTCGCTGCTGCCTCTCACTACTGTACCACTATGACATGGTCTTGAATAGTCGCTGCTGCCTCTCACTACTGGACCACTATGACATGGTCTTGGATGGTCGCTGCTGCCTCTCGCTACTGGACCACTATGACATGGTCTTGGATGGTCGCTGCTGCCTCTCACTACTGGACCACTATGACATGGTCTTGGATGGTCGCTGCTGCCTCTCACTACTGGACCACTATGACATGGTCTTGGATGGTCGCTGCTGCCTCTCACTACTGGACCACTATGACATGGTCTTGGATGGTCGCTGCTGCCTCTCACTACTGGACCACTATGACATGGTCTTGGATGGTCGCTGCTGCCTCTCACTACTGGACCACTATGACATGGTCTTGGATGGTCGCTGCTGCCTCTCACTACTGGACCACTATGATATGGTCTTGGATGGTCGCTGCTGCCTCTCACTACTGGACCACTATGACATGGTCTTGGATGGTCGCTGCTGCCTCTCACTACTGGACCACTATGACATGGTCTTGGATGGTCGCTGCTGCCTCTCACTACTGGACCACTATGACATGGTCTTGGATGGTCGCTGCTGCCTCTCACTACTGGACCACTATGACATGGTCTTGGATAGTCGCTGCTGCCTCTCACTACTGGACCACTATGACATGGTCTTGGATGGTCGCTGCTGCCTCTCACTCCTGGACCACTATGACATGTCTTGGATGGTCGCTGCTGCCTCTCACTACTGGACCACTATGACATGGTCTTGGATGGTCGCTGCTGCCTCTCACTACTGGACCACTATGACATGGTCTTGGATGGTCGCTGCTGCCTCTCACTACTGGACCACTATGATATGGTCTTGGATGGTCGCTGCTGCCTCTTACTACTGGACCACTATGACATGGTCTTTGATGGTCGCTGCTGCCTCTCACTACTGGACCACTATGACATGGTCTTGGATGGTCGCTGCTGCCTCTCACTACTGGACCACTATGACATGGTCTTGGATGGTCGCTGCTGCGTCTCACTACTGGACCACTATGACATGGTCTTGGATAGTCGCTGCTGCCTCTCACTACTGGACCACTATGACATGGTCTTGGATAGTCGCTGCTGCCTCTCACTACTGGACCACTATGACATGGTCTTGGATAGTCGCTGCTGCCTCTCACTACTGGACCACTATGACATGGTCTTGGATGGTCGCTGCTGCCTCTCACTACTGGACCACTATGACATGTTCTTGCATGGTCGCTGCTGCCTCTCACTACTGGACCACTATGACATGGTCTTGGATGGTCGCTGCTGCCTCTCACTACTGGACCACTATGACATGGTCTTGGATGGTCGCTGCTGCCCTCTCACTACTGGACCACTATGATATGGTCTTGGATGGTCGCTGCTGCCTCTCACTACTGGACCACTATGACATGGTCTTGGATGGTCGCTGCTGCCTCTCACTACTGGACCACTATGACATGGTCTTGGATGGTCGCTGCTGCCTCTCACTACTGGACCACTATGACATGGTCTTGGATAGTCGCTGCTGCCTCTCACTACTGGACCACTATGACATGGTCTTGGATGGTCGCTGCTGCCTGTCACTACTGGACCACTATGACATGGTCTTGGATAGTCGCTGCTGCCTCTCGCTACTGGACCACTATGACATGGTCTTGGATGGTCGCTGCTGCCTCTCACTACTGGACCACTATGACATGGTCTTGGATGGTCGCTGCTGCCTCTCACTACTGGACCACTATGACATGGTCTTGGATGGTCGCTGCTGCCTCTCACTACTGGACCACTATGACATGGTCTTGGATGGTCGCTGCTGCCTCTCACTACTGGACCACTATGACATGGTCTTGGATAGTCGCTGCTGCCTCTCACTACTGGACCACTATGACATGGTCTTGGATAGTCGCTGCTGCCTCTCACTACTGGACCACTATGACATGGTCTTGGATGGTCGCTGCTGCCTCTCACTACTGGACCACTATGACATGGTCTTGGATGGTCGCTGCTGCCTCTCACTACTGGACCACTGTGACATGGTCTTGGATAGTCGCTGCTGCCTCTCACTACTGGACCACTATGACATGGTCTTGGATAGTCGCTGCTGCCTCTCACTACTGGACCACTATGACATGGTCTTGGATAGTCGCTGCTGCCTCTCACTACTGGACCACTATGACATGGTCTTGGATAGTCGCTGCTGCCTCTCACTACTGGACCACTATGACATGGTCTTGGATGGTCGCTGCTGCCTCTCACTACTGGACCACTATGTCATGGTCTTGGATGGTCGCTGTTGCCTCTCACTACTGGACCACTATGACATGGTCTTGGATGGTCGCTGCTGCCTCTCACTACTGGACCACTATGACATGGTCTTGGATGGTCGCTGCTGCCTCTCACTACTGGACCACTATGATATGGTCTTGGATGGTCGCTGCTGCCTCTCACTACTGGACCACTATGACATGGTCTTGGATGGTCGCTGCTGCCTCTCACTACTGGACCACTATGACATGGTCTTGGATGGTCGCTGCTGCCTCACTACTGGACCACTGTGACATGGTCTTGGATAGTCGCTGCTGCCTCTCACTACTGGACCACTATGACATGGTCTTGGATGGTCGCTGCTGCCTCTCACTACTGGACCACTATGACATGGTCTTGGATGGTCGCTGCTGCCTCTCACAACTACTGGACCACTATGACATGGTCTTGGATAGTCGCTGCTGCCTCTCACAACTACTGGACCACTATGACATGGTCTTGGATAGTCGCTGCTGCCTCTCACAACTACTGGACCACTATGACATGGTCTTGGATAGTCGCTGCTACCTCTCACAACTACTGGACCACTATGACATGGTCTTGGATAGTCACTGCTGCCTCTCACAACTACTGGACCACTATGACATGGTCTTGGATGGTCGCTGCTGCCTCTCACAACTACTGGACCACTATGACATGGTCTTGGATAGTCGCTGCTGCCTCTCACAACTACTGGACCACTATGACATGGTCTTGGATGGTCGCTGCTGCCTCTTACAACTACTGGACCACTATGACATGATTTTGGATAGTCGCTGCTGCCTCTCACAACTACTGGACCACTTTGACATGGTCTTGGATGGTCGCTGCTGCCTCTCACTACTGGACCACTATGACATGGTCTTGGATAGTCGCTGCTGCCTCTCACAACTACTGGACCACTATGACATGGTCTTGGATGGTCGCTGCTGCCTCTCACAACTACTGGACCACTATGACATGGTCTTGGATAGTCCGCTGCTGCCTCTCACAACTACTGGACCACTATGACATGGTCTTGGATGGTCGCTGCTGCCTCTTACAACTACTGGACCACTATGACATGATTTTGGATAGTCGCTGCTGCCTCTCACAACTACTGGACCACTTTGACATGGTCTTGGATGGTCGCTGCTGCCTCTCACTACTGGACCACTATGACATGGTCTTGGATAGTCGCTGCTGCCTCTCACAACTACTGGACCACTATGACATGGTCTTGGATGGTCGCTGCTGCCTCTCACAACTACTGGACCACTATGACATGGTCTTGGATAGTCGCTGCTGCCTCTCACAACTACTGGACCACTATGACATGGTCTTGGATGGTCGCTGCTGCCTCTCACTACTGGACCACTATGACATGGTCTTGGATAGTCACTGCTGCCTCTCACAACTACTGGACCACTATGACATGGTCTTGGATGGTCGCTGCTGCCTCTCACAACTACTGGACCACTATGACATGGTCTTGGATGGTCGCTTCTGCCTCTCACTACTGGACCACTATGACATGGTCTTGGATAGTCGCTGCTGCCTCTCACTACTGGACCACTATGACATGGTCTTGGATAGTCGCTGCTGCCTCTCACTACTGGACCACTATGACATGGTCTTGGATAGTCGCTGCTGCCTCTCACAACTACTGGACCACTATGACATGGTCTTGGATGCACCGGACGACAAACAAAATACAGATGTAGTATACGCAGACTTAGGAAAAACCTTCGACAAATGCTATCGCAGTATTATAGCGCACAAAATGCGTTCACGAGGAATAACAGGAAAAGTTGGCCTCCGAAGTTTTAACTTTATAACAGACAAAACGAAAACAGTAATAACAGAGTGAGGTTTACAGAATTAATATATTAGTTTCTATGTGATATCTTGCTGATGTTAAAGTCAGTAACGCATACCGCACTCTGCACTATTCCTTTCGCGTGCATCTATGTAGAGTGGGCTGGGCTTATGGAATACGGGGATACCACAATGATCTTTACCTTTCCTAATGACTGTCCCGTGTCCTAACTTGTCTGGGACCTGGTATTGGTCCTGGTCATTGGGATAACCATCTCTCCCCTCCTTCCCACGAACTATTAAGACATGGGAAGTATAACCCATGTCCTGGTTTCTCTTACAGGTTATGGGCAGAGGTGTTCCACGTGTCATCGTCAGGTTCAGGTACCGTCAAGTGGCAGCAGGTGTCAGAAGACCTGGTTCCTGTCAACATTACCTGTATCCAGGACACGCCGGAGTGTGTCTTCCACATTACTGCTTACAACTCACAGGTCGACAAGATACTGGATGTACGACTCATCCAGCCAGGTCAGTGCATGGGTGAATCTGCATGGGTGAACCTACATGGGTGAACCTACATGGGTGAACCCACATGGGTGAACCCACATGGGTGAACCCACATGGGTGAACCTACATGGGTGAACCTACATGGGTGAATCTACATGGGTGAACCCACATGGGTGAACCTACATGGGTGAACCTACATGGGTGAACCTACATGGGTGAACCTACATGGGTGAACCTACATGGGTGAACCCACATGGGTGAACCCACATGGGTGAACCCACATGGGTGAACCCACATAGGTGAACCTACATGGGTGAACCTACATGAGTGAACCTACATGGGTGAACCTACATGGGTGAACCCACATGGGTGAACCCACATGGGTGAACCCACATGGGTGAACCCACATGGGTGAACCTACATGGGTGAACCCACATGGGTGAACCCACATGGGTGAACCCACATGGGTGAACCATCATTGAATGAACGAATCTCTATCCAGGTTTAATAATAATAATAATAATAATAATAATAATTTTATAGTTAAATTCCAGTAATACCTGGGAATTGTTGTAAATGTTATAAAATAGCAAGTCTCAACCTTCAATACCTGGTTGTGTGGTTAATGCTCATGGTGTGGTATTTATGGTGTGGTTAATCCTGCGCGTCGCACCCTTGGTAAATCCCTGGTCGTCTACATCAGTAATCCTGGCTGGTATTAAACCCCTCCATCCCTGTGTACACGTTTAGTTTAAACTCTTTTTATTTACACGTTTTTCGTGAGTTAGTGCCTCAGTTTTTTTTATCTTACTGTGGTGCACCAGGGCAGAGCGTCGCCATGAAGAAAGCACATTTACCGTCACTCGCACCATAGGTGCTTTGTTAGAAGTGCACTTTAACGACCCACCTAACCACCATCTTTTCTCGCGTCTTTAAAACTGAAGGCACTGTATTTCGTGCCTCTGAAACACAGCTAACTGGTTTTCCTGAATTCTTCTATAGGTTTCTTGCTACGCTTGTACTCCAACAGCACGTCAAATACCAGTAATCATATCATGAGACTAAATGAACACTAGTAGGGCTGTTAGGCCATGCTAGGAAGATCTAACTCACGGCTGTCAACAATCACTCATATAAGACACATGTACAACAGTTAGGTATCTTTATTCCGAAACGTTTCGTTTACACAGTAGACGTCTTCAGTCGAGTATAAAAGAGTTAACAGAAGCAGTAGATAAGTGAAGACTATGTAATCAGTCCATCACCCTTGAAGAGGTAGTTTTGAGGCGGTCAGTCCCTCAGCCTGGAGAAGAGTTTTGTTCCATAATCTGGAACAGTAAAGATACCTGACTGTTGTATCTGTGTCTTACTTATTAACCTGTCAGTGTTGTATACCATTTTCATAGACTATCACTTGTATACCCGTCTAACCTGTATGTAAAACTAATTAGAGGTCTAGATAAGTTCTTCTAACTCGAATCGACACTTACCCCTTAGTGTCTGCAACCGTGTATGTGTATACACACGGCCACACATGTCTGCTGGGTGTTCAAGCCTCTACCAGAGATCGTCGAATTGTGACGAGGACACTAGAGCGCTGCAGGAAGATCTGAGTAGACTGACGCAGTGGTCGGTGAAGTGGCAGATGCTGTTTAATGATGACAATTGCAAAGTTCTAAGCTTTGCAAAGAAAAATAAGCATGACACTTATAAACTAAATAATGTAGATCTTAATATCGCCGATTGCGAGAAAGATTTAAGATTTCTTTTTAACAGTAATCTAAAGCCAAGACAACAGTTACCCGTGGCCTGGTGGCTAAAGCTCTTGCTTCACACGGCGAGGGTCTGGGTTCGATTCCCAGCGAGGGTAGAAACATTAGGTGTGTTTCTTCACACCGGTTGTCTATGTTCACCCATCAGTAAAATACGTAGCTGGCGACTGGTGTGGGTCGCATCCTGGGACAAAACTGATCTAATTTGCGGGAAATGCTCTGCATAACAAGCGGCTTTCTATATAGTAGTATGTCACTAATGTCAGCTATGGTCTGTATACCTTGTACATGTACTGGTAGAAATAAAGATATTATTATTAAGTATAAATAATAGAAGTCCTCAGGTAGTTCTCCAACTCTATATATCCTTGGTTAGGCCTCATTTAGACTATGCTGCTCAGTTCTGGTCACTGTATTACAGAATGGATATAAATGCTTTGGAAAACGTACAGAGGAGGATGACAAAGTTGGTCCCATGTATCAGAAATCTTTTCTGCGAGGATAGACTGAGGCCCTGAGTCTGCACTCTCTAGAAAGGCGTAGAATTATGAATGATATGATTGAGGTATACAAATGGAAAGCAGTAATAAATAAAGGGGATGTAAATAACGTGCTAAAAGTATCCAAGACAGGACTCGCAGCAATGGTTTCAAGTTGGGAAAATTAAGATTTGGAAAGGATTTAGGAAAGCACTGGTTTAGTAACAGAGTTGTGGATGAGTGGAACAAACTCCCGAGTACCGTCATAGCAGTTAAAACCTTAAGTTGTTTTAAAAATAGGTTAGACAAATACATGAGTGGGTGTGAGTTGGAGCTGACTAGATTGAGCCAGTAGGTGACTTGAACCTGCCTAGCATGGGCCAGTAGGCCTCCTCTCCGCTTCTTTTTAAACGATCTTCTTAAGAAGCTCTCCTCCACTCCCTCACTCATAAGTTACACGCCACTACATCATCTTGCAGTGTTTTCAGTACTTCGTCTCTGAGTAATATTTTCACCATACGTCAGGCATTATGGTGCTGCTGCTTCCATTCTTCTTTTTCAGGATTCCCATCCATATATGTTTTATTTATTACATCTTTTGATAAACTTGTCCTTTTTCCAAAGGTTTCCTGACTCGGGTTGAGTGTTGTCTGCTCGTGTGCTCTATGGCGTGCTTCAGCTGCCTTGTATAGACCAGTAGGCCTTCTGCAGTGTTGGTGTTCTTATACACCCACCTGCACACACACAGTCACACCAAATGATGGAAATGTTTTCCTCCACCTGTGTACCCCTTCCTTCCTTCCTTCTGACCTCTGGTCTTTCACTCTGTACACTCTTATGTACTCCCTTTACCTTCCTCTTTCATTTTTACGTTAACCTTCAACATCTTGTCTATACATTTCCAACCCACGCAACATGTGACTTTCTCCTCTGAACCTCTTTACGAGTCTCGTATATAATCACTCAACACTCAGGCATTAATATATTTTACAGTCTTCATCTAGGAACACATTAAACCACAACACTAACATCACACATCACTCTTTTAATCCCAGTTATACTTTTCAATATTCTCCATCCCTCCAGCACACCATGTGAACTTCTCATATATTGTCAAGTATTTACAACATACAAGTCACATTGCTCCTCTGTCATCCCTCTTATATTTTGTAAATTAATAAATGCAACACGTAAATTCGTTGCTTCTCGTTTATATGGTTTATCCTAACACTCTATCTTTACCTCCAGTCCTATTATATATAAGTGTGTGTGTGTGTGTGTGTGTGTGTGTGTGTGTGTGTGTGTGTGTGTGTGTGTGTGTGTGTGTGTGTGTGTGTGTGTGTGTGTGCTTGGTACACTAAACATATTTAATCCCATGTGATGTTTACACTTACTGCCACGTACCTTACACAAAGCCACTATACCTGCTGTCTGACGTTCATTATGTACCTATTGTCTGACAGTTATGTACCTATTGTCTGACAGTTATGTACCTGTTCGTTTACTTAGCAAAACCCCCAAGTACTACTACTACTACTACCACTACTATTACCACTACTATCACTACTACTACTACTACTATTACTACCACGTACTCCACTTAACCTGTAGAAGACTCACCGTGCCCTTGTCATAGGGCTACCCCTGCCATAGGGCTACCCCTGTCATAGGGCTACCCCTGCCATAGGGCTACCCCTGCCATAGGGCTACCCCTGCCATAGGGCTACCCCTGCCATAGGGCTACCCCTGCCATAGGGCTACCTCTGTCATAGGGCTACCCCTGCCATAGGGCTACCCCTGCCATAGGGCTACCCCTGCCATAGGGCTGTAAACGGTACTCCACTTGTACAAAGACCGACACTCCTGGAGTCACTGTCGGGTGACCACATGAAGAAGACCTGGGCCAGGACCCGTCCTGGTGAACCTACATCAATGCTTCTGCCACTTACTGTCGCCATGTTTATGTCTTGTGTCATGTGCAACATTAACTGCTTTAAAAAAGATTCTGAAGTGGCTTGCAAACCTTAGTGTTAAAGGTTGCTAGATTGACCTTTATGTTAAGGTGAGGTGTGTGTGTGTGTGTGTGTGTGTGTGTGTGTGTGTGTGTGTGTGTGGTGTGTGTGTGTGTGTGTGTGTGTGTGTGTGTGTGTACTCACCTATTTGTACTCACCTATTTGTGGTTGCAGGGGTCGAGTCATAGCTCCTGGCCCCGCCTCTTCACTGATTGCTACTAGGTCCTCTCTCTCCCTGCTACATGAGCTTTATCATACCTCGCCTTAAAACTATGTATGGTTCCCGCCTCCACTACTTCACTTTCTAGACTATTCCATGACTTGACTACTCTATGACTGAAGAAATACTTCCTAACATCCCTTCGATTCATCTGAGTCTTCAACTTCCAATTGTGACCTCTTGTGTCTGTGTCCCTTCTCTGGAACATCCTGTCTTTGTCCACCTTGTCTATTCCGCGCAGTATTTTATATGTCGTTATCATGTCTCCCCTGACCCTCCTGGCCTCCAGTGTCATCAGGCCGATTTCCCTCAACCTTTCTTCGTACGACAATCCCCGTAGCTCTGGGACTAGTCTTGTTGCAAACCTTTGCACTTTCTCTAATTTCTTGACGTGCTTGACTAGGTGTGGATTCCAAACTGGTGCTGCATACTCTAGTATGGGCCTGACGTAAATGGTATACAGGGTCTTGAACGACTCCTTATTGAGGTATCGGAACGTTATCCGTAGGTTTGCCAGGCGCCTGTATGCTGCAGCAGT